TTTCTTTATTGGTTTTGACTACCTGGCCCGGAATGTTCAAAGGATGGATGTAGAGCTATCCACAAGACAAATCACTATCCAGTGGATAGCGTGGTTTGTTTTGTTAACATTTATTCATTGGATAGTACGTGGTTTCTCCAGTGGATAAAGTTATCCACCCTTTGAACAACTGGGGCCAGTAGTTTTGGACCAGTTTTGTTGATTCTCTATAACCATTTCATTTCTACGTCATACAGTGTAACAATTCCAAGTTGGATCTCCAAGAAAATGCAGGTTTATAAATCCTCTGAGGTTCTTTGTAAAGGTTAAAATCGTACGAGTTGCAGGGTATGGGCCTCAAGGTTAAAAGGGCTCAGTCTCAGAAGGCCAGAAACAGCCAAGGCTGGTAAGGGTTAAACTATAGAGAAAAGTTTGAACAAAATAAATTGAATTCAGTTACCTCAAATTGGGATTATCAATGAAAATTTAAAACAGATAGGCTGTTACGACGATCAATGAGATGCAGCTTCGGATTCGCATTCGCAGGGGAACCTTTTATTTGTTATCGTTACCATTATTGAAAGATAGTTATATTACCATACGCCAGCTTAACCCTGCATCTGATGAAAGAAAAACACCAGCATTCAAGTTTGTACCATAGCTTCCTGCAAATTGGCGCAGAGATAACTGAAGTTAGCTTGGTGGAAAAATATAGAATACGATAAATTCGTTACAACTGCTGACACCATTCCCTGGGAAGGACACGAAGAAGTAGTAGGGGAAAGAAGACCAAGAGATGAGGACTACTGTTACTGCTGCTTCTACAAATACTACTACCACCACTACCACCACTACCACCACCACCGCCACCGCCATCGCCATCGCCGCCCTGCCGCTGCTACTGCGGCTACTACTGCTACCACTACTGCCAGTAGTGGCGATGGCGGTTGCGCTGGCAACAGCAGCAGCTGAAGTAATTCTATGTAATCCCTAGAGGAAACAATTAATTGCAACCTATTTACGAGACAGTTTCTTCCAGTTTGTATCAATTCTCAAATACGTAGACACGTACATCTCAATATATTTAAAACAATGTTTAAATTTGCGCACCGTGGATTGATTAGCAAAATTTACATAAGCTATAAACAATAAAAACTTATCGGGAACAGACTGCTTGACAAAGCCACTCTTAGGATTCCAACAGTGCAATCTTAACACCCTTATCACAGATATATAGTCAGCCGTTCACGTGAGCATGGAATTACCTGTTGCCATGATGATGCCTGGAGATGAATTCCACGACTGCACTGGAGAGAATCGAGCGTGACGAGAATAGTAATCGCCAAATTTCTGCGACAGTTGTAGTGAACAAGTTGGCTAANACGAGTTGCAGGGTATGGGCCTCAAGGTTAAAAGGGCTCAGTCTCAGAAGGCCAGAAACAGCCAAGGCTGATAAGGGTTAAACTATAGACAAAAGTTTGAACAAAATAAATTGACTTCATTACCTCAAATTGGGATTATCAATGAAAATTTAAAACAGATAAGCTGTTACGACGATCAATGAGATGCAGCTTCGGATTCGCATTCGCAGGGGAACCTTTTATTCGTTATCGTTTTGCTGTGTTTGTCAACAAAAAGGTACTGAAAGTAAAATGAAAACAAAACGCAATTAAAACGCAATTAAAACATTAAAGTGACTATGCTAGTTTTAAGAAAATGATCGCTGTATCATATCGAGTAAGTCAACTTCCATAACCTTGTCAGAGTGACATGTTCACTAACCCTCGTGTTATTTACTGGAGAAGCATAAAACATGTCAATCACTGCAAATCGCCGACCATGCATAAATGAGTTGGTGCGATTCTCAAAGGTATGACCATAATCTCTTGAAATCCACACGTGGCTGTTACTGTTTAAGCCTGGATTTCTGTCTCGTGTCAACACCACAATAGTGTCCCTGCCGTCTGCTGCCCAGTGTACATAGGCCATTTGGTGACTGTCATTCAGCTGAAACTGCAAAAGAGAATTAGTCTTACGTGTTTTAAAATAAAATTAAGATTATTTTTTTGGAATTCTTTAGTCGGGATTACATGTATAATGATGACAAATATCGCAATGTGTGTTTATTGAGCTGATACTTGTACCAGACTGAAAACTGGGCCACATACCAGGGAACTTGCAATAAATGCACCTTAAGGACCTTAAAAGTCCAAACGTGAGAGCTCTGATTCTATGCGGCGTCTCATTACCCGAGGAGGTGGGCCAAGCAAGCTTGCATTTTACCCTATACTACAGCGACCTGTCTCTGAGCTGGTGGGGATTTGGCAAGGACTTTGTGGACTCGGGTTTTCACTACTTCAACGCCAGTTTCCTTCCTGAAATTATCCACTGGTTTATCTCTAACTACAACCACCTACAGACCTAGCAGACTGTAACAAAGAAATGTAAAACAGGAGTGAAATTCTGGCCGGATGTGTAGTTCATGTTTCTTTATGGAGGACTTCATTGGAGGTTTTCCAGGTAAGCTAGTCATTCATCCATCTATTCATTCATTCATTTATTCATTCATTCATTCATTCATTCATTCATTCATTCATTCTGTTTATTTTGCCTTTTTACTTAATGTACAGTATTTATAAATATTTTAATGTGAGACGAGGTGACTTCTAGAAACCATCAGGCTTCTAGTTGAGGCCACCTCATACGTAACAATACGGTTACATAAATAGTGCAACAGTGTGCGGCTTTGCCAGTTCAGCAATTATTTTACTGAAAACTCTTGCAGTTTTTTTCTTAAAATTGGGAAAAATTCATAAACTTCCTGAAGCTTTCAAGTGAATATATAATATATAAAATATTATATATTTGAACTGCGGAAAAAGGTATGAAGACATGATTGATCATTACATACACAACGCGGCAGCGAAATGAAAGCCTGAAAACAATTGCTTAGTTCTGTATGTAACTGCGGTGATCAGTTTTGTCAAGTTCATTCCTGTAGCTCTAAAGATGTCGAACGGTCATAGTTAGAGATTAACTAGATCAACCCACATTTTATAATTCAGTGAACTGGATCTGAGCAACAGAATATTGTAGTGTTGATGATAAAAGCCGGAGTAAACAAGTAGGCGTCATTTGACTTGCACACTTGAAAAAAAAAAATGTCTTCAAATTAGTTTCCTGTTTTTGTCTTCTTTCACCTATATTTTCCGTTTGGAAGACTCTTGTAACCAGTTCTGTTTTTACGAGACAAATTTGCATACAAGGCTTGAATGGCTATCCTTCGATGTGTGGTTTAATACCGACAAGCCAATATTCAGTTTTAATTATCAAATTTAAATTTTAAGTTTGGTTTCACATTTAGACATTCATAGATAAGCAGGTGTCCTTTTTCCTTAAAAATGTGACTTTTTTTTAAAAAAATTATACTAGTTCAACAAGAACTTCTTTTGAATTTCCTTGGGCAGCTAAGGTTGTTTATTTCATCACTGCGCATTGGATCACTTGTCCTTGTCGCTTGATGGAACATTCAAATAGTTTTGGAATTTCTCGACTTCAGGTTCTCCATGCTGAACTCTTCTGTGTTTCAGCCAGGGCAAAAAAAAAAAAAAAAAAAAGAAAAAAAAAAAACGATGAATAAAAGTATAACAAGAGCGACAACAACAGCTTCCGTGCCATGTACAAGCCTTGTCCCCTGGGAATTCAATAATATCCGTTACATTCAATATGGCCCTCGTGATGTATCATTCTATGTTCACCGCCATGAGATTCAGAGTCGGCTACACAATTACTGAAAACTTTTCAAAGTACGAACAAGAG